TGCCTACACTAATAGATAAAAGTCTTTCTCTTGAAGCCTACATATATTCCTTTTTGTAGTTAAAAACATCGAAAAATTTATAGTTATCTTTACCTGGAAAGTGAAGTGCAATAGCTATTTGAAAACCAGATGATTTAGTACCTGGACCACTTGTAAAGGTAAATGTTACTTGTCCTGTCGTAGTCTAAATAGTATGAAATGAGGCTTTTAAAAATTTAATTAATGATCATCGGATATCATACAGTAAAACTGAATGACGAAGGTGTACCACATTGTTGTTTAATATCTTTATTAAGTAATGTTGAACTATCATAGATACGTAAATAATCATTTGGACAATTAACAATATTCATTCTTTCTATTGTAATAACAAATCGTTGTGTCGACTGAGCTGCACGAAATTTGATAGAACAATTGAAATTTGGTTGATATTTACTATTGCTTGTTAATTGAAACGATGTACCAGGTTTAAAATCACCATCGAGAATTATCGATTCATTTCCACACATTTTATCCATAAAGACTATAAACAGAAAAGATCTGAATACAATTTCATTTCCATAGAAAAAATTATGTTTTCAAAAGAATTTATATCGCTAAAGTGAACTTTATTGTTCACAAAACAAACTTTAACACTTACATTTATCGCTGCTAGGTTTAGCATCGCTCAATCGGATGATAAGAATGAGAAAAGTTAAAACCAGAAATAGATTGATGTTTTCCATTGGATTATTAGGTTTAATTCTTAAGAAAAAACCGTACTTTTATCTATTTAAATTATAATCAAAAGAGAACTAGGTTCTGTTGTTTCTTTTATAGATCATCAAAGCGTCTGACGTATGATAACAAAGATTAGTTAAGCTTTGTTGTTTGGTTGGTTGTTTTTTTGAAAATTAAAAAATGACACAATACATAGATAAGGCTCAACTTTTGATAAGAGAAAAATGTAATATGATCTATCATTTTTGATATATTAGTTACACTGACAAAGATATTTTTGATTGAATTTCTTAAGATTAGAGTATAGTTTTTGACAAGAAAAAAAATATTGTGGTGGTAAAATTTGAAAATGAAGTAGACAAACTAATAACGAGGATAAGTATGCTCTGCACCGAAAAGCACTTCATTGAAAGCATTTTCTGGTTCTTGAAGATAGTATAACCGATTAAGTTGAAATTTTTACCATCGATAGAGCACCAACAATAAGGAGACACGTGCTCGAGAAAACAAATTTCGAAATGTTTTTTTTACAGTTTTTTCTGGCGAATCCTTTTTTTCATATGATCACATCCTGGCTGCTTATGACCATCATCCAACTTTATTTAATCGGACTGAAATTTTTACCACTGATACTGGGAAGTATTGTTCAGAATTTAAATTGGTCGTTTTCGTTTTTGACTTTCCTATTCGGATTTATAGGATTCTGAAAGCGAAGATTCTGATTTTAGCACTGAATCTTTACGTATTTTTCTTATAAAAAGAAAAAGAAAGTGAGATTTTTGGAAAAACTTACAATTACCTCTGAGATATAGTCGCAGGCACCTCGAAAAAATTTTGAGTCCAATCGAATAAAAATTTGATGAGGGTCGTAATGTATCAGGATGCGATCCTGTAAAAACCAGAGTTTTTCAGCACAAAAATTCACTTTAAAATTATTTTTCTTAAACACGTATCTCTCTATTTTCTGGTGTTCTATCTGTAGTAAAAACTTCAGCTTGATCAGTTGTATCATCCGTTTTTAAGAACCAGAAACGACCCAAAAAAGAGAAGGTTATCCTTAAGTTTAATTCCTAATGTCTATCAATCGTGTTGTCAAATACCTCTGTATTTGTTTGTCTACTCAAACTGATATAAATATGTTTTAGCATGCAATCTTGACTTTACCTAATCTCATCTTGAACGAGTCTAATGTCGGATTCGGGTTCTTTTTGGTGAACTGAGAAGAAGTAATAATATTTCAGACAATATAAGAATTAAGTAAAGATGCAAACAGTTATGTGCAAATTTTCATTGAAGTAGTTCATTTGTATAAAATCCTTCGTCAATTTATAGATTCTGACCTAATTGATTGATGATTGTATTAAATAAAATGTCATTGATCTCTGGCAGTTCATTGATAAGAATCTGAATCCAATGTCGATCTACAGACTAATTCGAATTTAAACGTAAATTTTACAGTCAGTCCGACACTAGATGCGTTCAATCTCGGATTTAAGGATTACTCAGATCAATTCAAGATTGACGCAAGAGGAAAAAACGAAAACTTCGTAGTCTAAGGGTTCATGAAAACTATCCTCTTGAATTTCTTAGCTATCTTACGTCTACTGTCAACGTATATCACGAGTAGACATGTGCAGAATCACGAGAAAAAAATTTACTGGTATTGGAAACCGAAAAACTAAGATCGCCGGAATAAAGACTATGACTAGGACTGGTGGATAAAAAAAGTTACCGGCACCGAATTGGAACCAGGACAAAAAGAACTTGGTCTCGCACGTGTTTAGTCATGAGCGTATTAGTTTAAGGTCATTTTATATAAGTCTGTCTGGTAATAAAGTCTAAACATTTCATCGCGCTTCGCTGATATACTTTTATGATATTTGAGTCTTTTTATATGATATACCTATATTTATCAAATATTCGCGTAGATCAATCCATGAAGAGTGGAATCACGACGTAGTTTCCTTTAAAGCACTAATAATCCTGCCATCAATAAAATCCAAAACAATAAAAAGTATTCTTTTTTTTTTAATTGGCAATCATATTTGAAAAAAAACGACAAAACTACTAATTTACTTTTACAATAAATAAAAATAGATAATATATTAGTCTTATTATAGAACATAAATTTTCATTTCAGTATCTGTATATTGACGTTGTTTATTATATTTCATAGCTCTTGTTGAATATAATAAATATTTCAATTCAATACGTTTAATAATCGTTGATGGAGGTATATGACTTCGTCGACAACGATTCAATCGATATTGTTTTTGATACGATAATATAGGTGATCGTTGAACTAACGTTATTGCTGAAATTGATAATTCAAATTGTGTACAAGAATCATTAGACATTGATAATGTTGATGATAATGGTTGAGAATTATAAGATTTATTCGAACGTTTTGGTGTTGATGTTAAAGGTACATGCAATTGAAATGAATCAATACTTGGAAGTAATGATGATATATCATTCATATTCATCATTTTTGTTTTGTTATTTTTTTAATAATGTTATAATATCAAATAGAGTTAGATATATTTATAAAGAAGGAAAGAGAGAAGAAAAAAAAGATAATACTACGATTGTATATATGTATACATTAATTGGGTAAGAGAAAAATGACTCCCCCTTATCGACTAAACATTGACAACTAACTGCTAAACGATGACGAAAAGAATATAACAAAACAACAAAGATATATTCAATATTTTAAAATTTTGAAAACTAAAAGTAAAGTTCGATTTGAAATCAAACTCAAGACGAAAATACTTGAATTAGTTCTTTTTTTTTTCTTCATCTCTTTGAAGTTTTATTTACTATCAATTAATAATTATTCTTCTTCGATATCAATCTTTGATAAGCATAATATCTAATACATAGTCTATTATTATAGAGAGAACGAGAAAGTTTATTGTTTATGTGATGTTAAGTTTGAATGTAGGTGTGAATTGTAAAGCAAAACAATGACGCGTGCCGTATCCTATACATTTAAATAGAGTCAAAACATTGAGCAGACAGCAATTATGCGGTACGAATAGAGGTGAAAAAAAATTTTATTCTTAAGAAAATATTTAGCACATAATAAACTTGAACAAATTCAAAGAACAATAAGTTAATTCAACGTAAACTATAGATAAACATATCGACTGTTTATTTTATCAAACAGATATTGTGTATTCATTCATAAATCACAGAACTAGGATGAATATTTATGATGAAATTTAAGTTTTTTCATTACTATTCTTATGTTATTTGAAGTAGATTCATATCAATAAGCTTCTTTTATCAATAGTAAATCTAGAATTTTAGTAAATGAAGACAATTATAGTCATAAAATATGATTTCAAGTCAAACTAGAGATCGTGGTGACTCATTTTTGGACGTTCTTTGTAGAGAAAAATAGTTCACAAGGAAGGGACGATCGTCCCCTATGTCCCTTCTCTAAATCTGCCACTATATTATATTTGTCTCATCAAGGACTACATAACACTGATATATTAGAGTTCTGCAGGATAAATTGTTTTCAAGTTCCAAATACCGTTTGTCCTATTCCAAGGATTTTCCAATCGTCTCGAATTTTGTTTGCCTTGAGCCCAAATATCACACACCGAAATTTTTCGAGACTATGACATATATTTGTCTGATATGAGTTTCATTCAACCAAAAACTATATTCAAGTACAGCAAGTACTTTTACTTGTAAGCATTAGTTTTTGCTATTTGTCAATACTTTGAAGGGATTGCTATGTTTCATTCTGTACAGTATTAGACAACGAGTAAAATGACTCAATGAAGTTTGTATTTCATATAAAACGTAAACATGTTATTAAGAGTTCACATATCCAGTAGGTAACAATCCTAGATCTGTTATAAACTCAATATGTTTTATTGAAAATAGAACGTGTTGAAAAATCCTCTTTGATATTTATTAAGAATATAGAATTTTTTTTTTTTTGTTTTCAATACAACTTTTTTAGTCAAGAGAAAACTAAAACGAAAATAAAACAAAAAGAAATTTTAAATGTCCCAAATTTGTTTAATATTTTTATGATGATGATAATAGTATTCAGTTTTTGGTCGATAAAGAAGTAAATCAAGTTTTATGATTGGCATTTGATCATATTGACAATATTTTTCATCTATAATTTTTGGTTGATTATCATTGTCTTTGATCTTATTCTTAATAAGATTATAAAATTTATTTGGTGTTGATGCACGAGGTAACGGTATTAAAGTTCGTCTTTTAGGTGTACTCGTTTGAAATAACATTTTTTGATTACAAGAAATTCTAAATCAAAATTCAATGAAAATAATTTTCAATTAAATCTCTTCTTACTTTTTGTTCCTAGTCATGTCAATAAATGCGAAAGAGAGAGAGAGAGAGAGATAGAAAGTGATTATTCACTTTTCTATATCAGCAAATAATTGAAAGAGAGAGGAAAAAAAATAACTGGCTAAATTAATCGTCTCCTACCGTTTGATTCACATTTAAGTGATGACAATGATAGTACAAGCTGCGTGCTGTTGGGAAATATGTTCTACTATTGAGCAGATTTTTTCTCATCAACTACTATCCTAATATTCATATTAATATCCACAAACGCATGGATTTTTTTTTCTGTTTCTCGAAAATTGATGTGATGCTGATTAGGCGTGAAACAAGCCTTTTCGCACACACACTTCCATCCGGTGTATCAAATTGTGTCATAATCGAACAAATGAGCAGCTGTATAATCTATCTTACATATTGTTATATGTAAGTATATATGATTTATCAATGTTGATAATGATGATAGAACTAAAACGTATGACAATCAACTAATGAAAATACGCAGGTACAATGATATATGCAATAAAAAGCAAATTACACGTGCACACACACACACACACACATAAAAAGTGACAGAAAAGAAAAGAAAGAAATAATAATATTCTTTTTTTTGGAGTTATGACTAGAATTAAAACAAGTGTAAAAAAAAATCATCAAGAAAAAAGAGATAGATGAATATGATTCTTTGTAGAATATATATATATATTTTTTTCTTTTTTAACGAGAACCGGTTCCAAATGAGTATTTATCGCTAATTCCAGTGGTACTACCAGTGCCACTAATCGATATAGTTTCCAATGGAGTTCGTACAACAATTGAAAGTCGACCTGTTTTAAGTCCTGGCTAAAATACAAAAAAAAAATTACAAATTATATTACTTAAAAAAAAACAAAAAAGAAGGAAAATTAAATTCATATAATAGCTATATTATGATTGAGTAAATAGATTATTTGAGAAAAGCAAACAATAAGACAAAATGCATTCATAGTGAAATTTCATGTAAAAAAGTTATAAAAGCAGTTCTTTTCAATTCAAGCAGAATAATAGAAATATGTATTAAATGTAAAATTTAAGGTTCAAGACATCAGACAACAAATGTTCATTCATTTATCAGTTGCTTTTATAAGTGAATATTGAAAGGCATAGTGCAAAAGGAAAAAGAGGTATAGGCAGGCAGAATATAATGCAAGAATAAATAAATAAATAAATAAATAATTATATATATATATATATATAAGTATGAGTGCATATATGTAGATAATTATGAACTGTTTATTACGGATATATGCACGCAAAATTTTTACATTAGTATTTTTTGGATAACTAAAAACAAAACAACAACAAACAACGAAGAAGAAGAATAATTAAAATAACGAAGTAGTCATAATCCCACACAAGATTCACACAATCGCAAAAAGCTACGTCAACCACCATCACATTCATCCTTATGATTGGAATGAATGTGTATGTGTGCGTGTATATGTATGTGTATGTGTGTACATATTTATGTGCATTTTCACGCGTGTTTGTCCCAAAAAAAAGTAGAAAAAGAAGATGAAAAAAACTATATAAAATAAATATCTGTATAGTCTTTTGTTTTTCAGAAACAAAGAAAAACTGAACCTTTTTTTCTTTTATCTTTTTGTTAAAATCATTACTTACTTTCTTTTTTCCACCTAATAATAATTCTTTGTAAGCTTCAGAACGTAAAAATCGAGCATATGTATCACGATTCATCAAATTAAAGATGTGATCCTAACAAAAAAGAAAAACTAATTTCAATAAAAAAAAAAAAAAAAATTAAACAAAATCAAACCTGAGCTTCATCAAATGTATATCGACTAGGAACATGCGTCATATTATTTTTTGTTAAATTCATGACACGTTGATCAATATTAATTGAATAATAAGCACCTATAAATTAAAATTCTTGATAAAAAACAAAATATATTAATTATTAAAATATACCTGGTGAAAGAAATTCATTATAAATTTCATGTACTCTTTTAAGTACATCTTTTTGTGGAGTATGAAAACGTAATTGTATACATGCTTCATAAAATCTTAAATTTTCACTTGAATATTCTTTATCAAGAAACTTCCAAAAATGATCACGACCAATTGGATCTTTTAGTAATTCATTTATTGAAAAACCCCATCGTTTAACACGTCGTGTTGAAATTTCTTTAGCATTACCCAATTTTTCTAATTCCCATAGTTCAGTTGAATCAACTAGCCCTAAAAAGAAATTTATTATTTTTTTCAAATATAAGAATTATTCTTCAGACTGAGATCTTTCTTAATAGGCAAAAGTTCGCCTCCTAACTAATTTCTGAAGATATATTAAATAAAGTATTTTATTCATTGAATGAATCTCACAAAACTTTTGTTTTTTTTTGTTATCATTGTACAGTCTGAAGTAGTATCTATCTATCGAGTACGTTTTGGAATCTAAAAATTATTTTTTCAACGTTAAAAAATTCGAGAAAAAAAAATCAAATTTACCTAACGGAAATAGCGAATCGTGTTTTTCTTTAGGCAACTTTTTCAAGGAAAAGAAGTGCAGAAACTGCTTGAGATGGGTATTCCTGTTGTGATTGAGAAAATATTATTCTGCTGATAGATCAACAAAAAAAAACATACGTTTTTCAGGGTGCCTTCGATACTTTGGTCTTTTTATTCGAAGGAAAAAAAATAAAAATATACCACTCGAAAGTATCTAGCTCATGTAGAATAAAATGTTTAGCTAGATCGAACATAGCATCTCGGAGAAATGGGAACGAACATAGAAGTCATTTTTTATCATTGTGATCTCAACATCTTCAAGATCTATCGGTCATGAAAATTCCAGATTTTTCTGATTAGCTGTTTTCCAGCAACCCTTGGAAGGGAGACTCTTAATAGTATGTTTTATTTTCATGCATTCTCTACATTTGATAGCAAGTTTCATATCAGTAAAATTACTATCTACATATTCTTCAAGATGAAATTCAAGGGTGTGATAATGAATGGGTTGATAGCTCTTTTATATACCTACACTCGTATACACATCTTCTGTAAATTGATAGAATAATTAAACCAAAAATTGACTATTAATATGCAATTAGTTAAAGACAAATGTAAAGGAGATGAATATATTATGGACATTCTATGGTCTCAATTGAGACGCTACAAAATATAAATCTTTTTCTTATCACAAACTCTTCAATTTTCTTGTTTTGTTAATTATAAACAATACTAATGGCTAATTTATAAAAAATAAAAAAAAAATAACCTTCAACGATCAAATTACATGAATCTTTATGTTATTATAAATGTATTTGTGTAAAATGTTTTTGATAAGAGAAAAGTCAGAACTTTTAATTATAAGGTTATAGTTTCTTATCATTGAAATTTCAAATAAAAAAGAAAATATTCTCTTACAAGGATTTGATGGTTCACATGGTGTTATAAATGGATCAAATTCTGCATATTGTTCAAAATATGAAACATAATTTTCACAAACTTTTGATGTTCGTAAACATCGCCTATCAATACGATGTTTAAGAAATTCAATTTCATGACATAATTGATCAATTAAAGCTGCTTCATCACTTTCTTTTAAAACTGCTGGTCGATTGTGTGTTTGATTTGTTGTAGTTGTTGGTCCTGTTGACAATAATCCAACCGTCATAGTTATGAAATTTTTATTAGCAGCAGCTGCAAGTGCAGATGCTGGACCTGTATTTGATGTTGATGTTGTTGAATATTTTCTCAAAGTTCCTGATAATGGATGAGAACTTAAAAATGCTGCTTTTCGTCGCATTAATTTTTTAATATCTTGTTCAGTCATATTAACACAACCAGGTGCTGGTCGATAAACATCCCAGAAAGCACGTTCTTGAGAATCCAGAACATTTCGTTCAACTTTATCACGTTTTTTATCAACCCTAATAAAAATAAATAAATTAAATGAAATTCGAAATTTGATTCTTTTTTAAAATAATTTTACTTTATTTGTGCTTCAGCTTGCATATAAATAAGTTCCCATTTACGAGCAAATAATTTTTGAAGTCGAGCTAAATTTTCTGCTTCATAATCAGCTAATTCTAATCGAGTTTTATTTTGCATCGTTCGTTTACATAAATATACAGCTTAAAAAAAAAAAAGAAAATTTAAAAAAAATGCTTATTGAAGAACAAAATGTAGATTAGAATTAATAGCAAAAATAAATGTTAAAAGATTAGTCTTAATAGCTTCTTTTTTTTTTTCTACCTCATTTTTAATTCAATAATTCGACTCTATTCTGGAGAAAATAAGTAAATTAATATAGAAATAAAAGAAAAACAAATATTAAGTCGTACCATAATCAATATTATCGGGTTCACCGTGACTCGATGGCCAAAAGAAAGGAGTCTAAAAAAGAATTATTTGTTTTTTTTTTGTTTTCAAACATCTAAAATATTGTATTTACTTGAAATCGATAAAAGGTACCATCATTTTTTACCATTAATACATGATCTTCAATTGGTAAAATCTACAAAAACAACAAATGTTGTAATTGAACAAAACTCAGAAATTATCTTACATAGCCACACGATGACATAAGATTGGCTAAATGTAAAGCTTCAGCTGAATAAAATAAAAATGAATTATTTTATTTAAAATATAACAAAACAAAAAACATTTATATTTATACTCGTATCATCGACATCGAGGGTCTTCAAAATCCATTGTATTAAATCTCCACCGGTAAAAACACTAGGAATTTTTGACATAAAACTTTTAACTGATTTTATTGGTAGACCAGTATTTTCATCTTGCATTCTTTCAAGTAATGCTTCAATCTAATAAATAATTTATTTATATTTGATAATATATAAAAAAAGAAATCCAAAAGAAATTTTTATTACTTTTTTATATGTCCATATATTCGGAATTTCATAGTCTCGATTAATTCCTTCCATTAAGTTGATATTAGGATATACGAGAAAATCATTAGGAGGTGGTCCACTACTAATTATTGTTCCAGCTGAATCATTTAATGTTGCTTGATCATCTAGATCAGTAGGCATTATAGTAGATGTTGTTTGAGGTACAGTAACGCGAACCATTTCTAAAGGTATGTGGTCGCTGAGTGAATCATCATCAGTAAAAGATGCTCGAACTCGAGCTTCCATTCAATGATAACAAGAGACAATCATGATGATCACATTGTCTAGAATAAAAAAAAGAAAAAGGAAACACACGATGACAATTATGTTTAGAGAATAACTTTAAAGATAAGAATATCGTAAATATTTAAGAGATCAAGAAGAAATAACAATAAACAACTAATAAGGAAGAAAAATATCAATAGGAAATAAAAAGGATCAAAAGTTCATTTATTCCCATTCCTTAACTAATTGCTTCTGTTTTTATTTTGAAATCTGACTATTTTAATTCTAGTTTTTTTTCTTGCAATTTTTAACTGGTTGCTGGTGCTAATCGATTAATAAATGCAATTGCACTATAACAAATACGCGCAATTATTGGTGGACAACGTGGTTGACTACATAAATATTCAACACGTTGACGAAGTTCATAAAATAATGTACGTGTATATGGATTTCTATGTGATGTATAACGTAATGTAAGAAATCGATAATACATAAATATAAGTAATAAATTAGAACGTGCAATAAATAATGATAAAATTAATAATGGCATAAGTATAATTTCATTTAATGCTACAAAACGTAATAAATTTGCATGTTTTTCAGTAATACGATCACAATAAATTTTTATAGTTGGATAATTTGTTAAAATTTGTGATAAAAATGAACATGAATGTAATAATGCATATGTTGCTATTGGTATAAGAACAATTGTCATTGGTGAACCACTTAAAAATAAAAATGAATACATTAAATAATGTGCACTATCTTCACGAATTAAATTTAAAAAAAATTCACGTGAAAATTCAAATGTTGGTATACGTTGTCGTAAACGTAATATTGATGTAACAGCTGATGATAATAATGCTTTTGTATAATAAACATTTGAGTTAGAATTTGAACGATAAAATGGTAAAATATAGATTAATGTAAAAACTATTGTTGCTAAACGTGATAATAATAGAACAGTATCAGTTTTACGTTCAAGTAAAACATTTATTAATGATGGTGATGGTACAGTTGAACGTGAAGATGTTTGAGATGAATTTCTAGGCGATGATGTTGATGTAGTATCACTATTTGTATTTGTTGATGATCTTGCATTTGATGTAACATCTTCAACGAGAACCATGTTTTTTGCTTTAGATAAATACTAATGTACTTGTTTAGAATTAGAGCAATGAATAAGAGTAAATTTCTCTTGAGTCAACCATATTCGAGAACAAGACCTTCGATAAAAAGTATGTACTTATTGAAGCGTTAGAATCAATGCAAATAATTTTTGTTTTGATTGTAACAATTAATATGAAATTTATTTTTTTATTAAATTAATTTAATTAATAAGCTTTTTTTTGTTGATTAATATTTTCGTTTAAAAATCTTAATAAAATCTTACTAGTAGCGCCTCATATTTCTGATTGGTTAACTTGAATTAGTTAGCTATATTAGAGACTTTGTTTTTTTTTTCTTTTTACTTAACCATCAACCACACGAATGGACTCGAAATCTCATCAGTGCTCAATATGTAAGAAATCTTTTTCAAGACCAAGTAAACTTCAACATCATATTGCTTATCATCATGAGAAAAAGGTATTTAATATTTCAATATAATTAATAAAAACGTTCTGTTATTTAGTCAATTATTTCAAAGGAGATATTGATAAATACCTTGAAGGCAACAATATTTCTCTTGTCTAAAACTTATTATGTAGAAAATATTCTAAAGGATATTTTAAGTAAAACTTTTTCAAATATCTCTTTTCGATTATAGTTTGCTTCAAAAAATTTCTTGTTTGTGTTCTATGAATCTCTATTCACTTAAAAACATGATTCTCTTATCGATATAAATAATTCTATTTAAATAATGAAGTCAATGTTTCATCCAGCGTGAGGGTAGCATCTTTCCAAAGATCGGATTGATCCTTCCGGAGTCTGTGTTTATTGTACGATGAACTTTGTATGTGTATCCTCAAAAATAGTTGTCTATCGGTCCAGAAGAAAAAATTTAGATAAAAAAAAAATCAAATGACGCTTTTCCTATAGAAACATTTTCTTTTTAAAATTAGTTTTCATTTGAATGTATTCAATGTGGCAAACCATATTCAAATCAAGATCATGTTAATCGACATTATCGTACTGTACATCAACAAGAAAATATAACAACAAAAAAGTATAGTTTGAAAATATGTTAATCTTATTTTATATATATAAATTCATTAATATAGATTTAATTGTATGATTAATAATTGTACAAAAACATTTGCTAATAAACAAAATCTTGATCGACATATTAGAATAGCTCATAAAAAATCAAAATTAAAATCAATTAAAGTAAATTGAAATGCTATTGTTTTCTTTTATTTAATCGATTTTAATATTTTTAGTGTTTATATTGTTTTGAATATGTTGAATCATTAGAATCACATTTAATTCTTAAACATAATTCGACTTCAATAGATAAATTAAAGTAGAAATTTTTTATTTTTATATTTATAATCATTCAAAAAAAAAATTTGCTTTTGTTTAGATGTCTTGATTGTTCTAAAGAATTCTCATCAATAAAAAGTTTAATTCATCATCGTATTATTCATACAGGTATGAATAATATTTTGAGAAAAAAAATTTTTATAATTAAGTTTAGATCATCCATTGGCCTTGCGCGTTTTATACGGTTAGTAAAAGGTTGGGTGACCACCTTTGAAGACCGTCAATGGGTGTATATGATATACAAAATTGTAAAAAATATTTTCGTTGGTATTTAGATGAACGTCGAGAACTCGATGTTCAATGGACAATGAATAGATTATTAGATGAAATAGAACGACAACAAGGTAAATAAAAATACAAAATGGTTTAAAAGTCATTGTACAAAAAAAAGTCTGTTAACATAGTCTGTGCGAGATTAAAATGTGAGACACGCTGCAACTGCTGCTGCTAAGTATAAGAGATTGGTTTGTTCTATTTTGGAATACATTTCTTCACCCTCCTTTTACTTAATCCTCCAGAAATACAATAAAGAGGTAGTTCATATAATGAAACGAGAGGATGAGTCTGGATCCACATTTTTATTCCTATACTTCAATACGCCCTTTAGATCGTATTTTACAAAAGCTGAAGAAATATAAGAAAAAAAAATCGGAAGAAAGGTGTTTTTTTTACAGGTTTTGTGATACTTTTAACTTTTTAAGGAAAGATCGTAGAAGATACGGCGACCTCTCGTTTTGTGCTCTTTTAAATGGCATTGTTAAAAAATAGTCTTCTGGAACCTGAAAACTATTGTGTCCAAGCTTTTTTAGAAATCTTGGTGTAAGAAAACTCCATTGGCTATTAATACCACTGTCTAGGCTATTAAACTGTTTTCTACTACGTTCCATACTGGTTTTCGAAAGTCGAAAAATGACTTTATAATGTATTGAATCTGAAAGTGCTATTTCGTAGGACTATATGGAAGTGTTCACTATCATCAGTTTAGTCGATAGAATCATAAAGGAGATATTTAAGTTTTTTCTGTTGTATAGTGACTTTTAGAAGAGTCTGTAGAAATTATAATTTTGAAATAAAATAAATTTTAGTGTTTAAATGTGATTTATGTAATCGAATATTTCGTTCATTATTTCAACTTGATCAACATCGTAATAGTAAAATTCATCAAGATGAATTTATATGTCAATATCCTAATTGTGGAAAACGATTTCTTTATATGAGAAATCTTCGACATCATGCCAAGTAAATTTTTTTTGTTGGTTTTGAAAAATAAATAGAAAAGAATGTTTTTATTAGAATTCATCATGAAAATATTTCACGTTTACCATGTCCAATGAATTCTTGTTCAAAAACATTTACATGTCAAGCATCAATTTGTCGACATTTAAGTAAATGTCATTCATCTAATGATATTATTGAACAAATAAATACTAAACAAAAACAAATTCATCGTCGACAATCGAATATTCAAAGTTTATTAAGTGGTTTTAATAGTCGAAAACTTAATCAAGAAAATGAAATTTCAAAACAAATGAAACATTTATTAAAACTTTTATTAACTGATGATAATCTGGTAAACATACCAGATGAAAATATGGATACAAATATGAATGAAAATTCATTTGATCAAGATTTATTAAATGGTTATCATGATATAGGACTTGTTGAATTGTGATTGTGATTGTGATTGTTATTTTTTATTTTTGTTTTGTCTTTTGTTCTCGTTTTAAAGTTGAAGATTTTATTAGGAAAAGTTTGTTATTAATTTTCTAGATATATACATTTTGAAAGGAAAAATTTTATTGAAAAACAACAATGGCAGAAGCAAAACCGGTATGTATTTCGTTTTATGATTATATTTTATACTATTAAATCATTACGAAAAGATTTCTATAGATTTTGTTTTTTAACAGAAAATTAAATAAAGAATTCTCGATAATTTTAAATTCTATTCTGGATCTATATATAATTTTTTTTAAAGATAATCGATTAGAATTTCTATACATGATCAATGTTTTATCTGAATTATTTCTTCTGGAAGGACGAACACCTATTTTGCGAGCAGCAACATAGAGCATCGTATAATAATAAATAACTCTGGGAGAGCCGCCATCTTCGCGCCGAATAAAACATTGTACATGGCTTTTTTTTTCTTACTATCAAAAAAAGAATAAAACTTGATCTTGTTTTTAATCAAGGTTAGACTCTTACGTATATATTGGTTTTGATCTCATAAAAGAAAAAAACCTAATATCTGCCATTGGGTTCCATATTACAACACATAAATGAGAGAAGTACTTATTTGAAACAGTTTTATGAGAAAAGAAAGAAAAAACGAAAGCAAGCATTTTTGATTTACGCGAGTGAATTCCAACTTATTGGTACGATTGGTGATGCGAAAAACTGAAAGTAAGCCTAAACGATTTCTGAGCAGTGCATTTTATTACATTCTATATCTATGATACATAGCAAAAGTTTCTCAACATTTTACTACATATTAGCTGAGATACGACTTCTTTAATGTACATATACCATAAAAAAAAAACGTTAATTTAATGAAAAATGCCCCTTTACATTGCATCATATTTTGTAAAATTTTTGATAACAGAAAGAGATATAAAGTTGAATATTTAACTGGTCGTACAACTTTATGAAATGTAATTTTCAAAAAGTCATTCTACATTTCGTCATATAATGTAAATTTTTCAAGCACAATAAGAGATAGGCGGCTACATTTTTGACTAGTTATGTAACTCTAAGAGCTATATCTACAGTAATATAAAGTATTGTGGACGAATGGATATGAAAAGAGAGAGAGAGAGAGAGAAATACGAAAAATATATAATTCGATAGAGCATTTCAGGCTCTACAAAACTGACTATTTGTTATCTTCTTCTTTCATTTCATGCTTAGAAAATTTCCTTGCGTTCGTACATGCGTCTGAAAAATACGATTTTTTCACAGTATGAGCTTTATAACTCAGCGATGGTACGAGCTAGAGAACTGAAACTTGGGATGGATATGGAACACCTCTACAGGACTAACATATAGAAAAGAATAGTCCAAATCGGTTGACAGAAACAAAAGTTATAAGTCAAATACAGCTGGGATCTCAATCGTACTAAAAAGTTACAATTCACTCATGTATATTTCATTAATCAATTTTATTGATAATTTTTGGCTGATTTTATTTTTTCCTCAGACACTTAATTATTTCGAACGTATAAGTATCGTGCAAAATATGCACGTAGCATTGCATTCGAACATCCCATTTTCTTCAGATAATAATATCGGATATGGATCCATTACCAGAATTACCACCGGATACTGAACCACTTGAACATCAAATTGCGGGACATTTTTATGGTCGATCAAAAACAAAATTTGGTTTATTACAACGTTGTTTAACAGGTGAAGTTCTTAAACCATTACTTAATCCACCACGTGGTCCACGTGAACATCAATTTTATCTTTATATGTTTTCTGATAAAATTTCCAATGAACTTCTTGAACTTCGACCATTTCTTCCGAAATTATTAGATACATATCACTTTGATACTATGACTTATTTAGTATTAGAAAATATCACACAATCATATAAATATCCATCTATTATTGATATAAAACTTGGACGAATAACTTATGATTTTGAAGCAACACCGGAAAAAATTGAACGACAAATTGGAAAATTTCTACCAGCAACTGAAATTGGTTTTCAATTACTTGGATGGAAAACTTATCGACAATTATATAATATGTATACTTATCATGATAAACGTTGTGCACGATCATTGACTAAAGATGAACTTCTTTATGGTTTAGCACATTTTTTTGGTGCACCTGAATATGATCATCGTCCATATGTACGAGCTGTACTTGAACGTCTTACTGTTCTTGAACATATTATGTCCAAACAATATGAATTTGTTTTTATTGCATCATCAATTTTGATTGTCTATGATAGTGATCATAGAGAAAATTCCAATGATATTAAAGTTGATGTTCGTCTTGTTGATTTTGCTCATGTTTTTCCATCATCATTGGGTACACAACCAGATGAAAATTTTCTTTTTGGTCTTCATCATTGTATGGAATATTTAAAAATGTTACTTGATGAAAAATTTCATTATATAGCTATTGATAAATTAGAACATCATACTAATTTATCAGATTCACATTGTTATAAAACATTATTCAAATAATTTCTTCTTATTATTATTGTTGTTGTTATTGTCCTTTCTCATGTATATCGATAAACCTATATTTGTTCGAACAGTAAACATCTTCTGTTAAAAAATATCAAGAGAAAAAAAACCAGAAATTTAATTGTTTGATATTAAATTATAGTCTCATTCTAGACACACAAAGTCGAATATTCAGTTGATTATGATTTGGATGAGGAAAAAAAAAAGCCGCATGCTGCATGTGATTTACTTCGATATGATTTAAAAATGTGTTTATTGGCTAGTGATTGTTGTAAAGTAATAAATCTAATATTGTTTTGTTTTTAATTAAATAAAAAGAAAATTTTTGATTTCTAGCTTGGACATACACCAAAGGAATGTCTTTCGAATGAAAAATTACGTGAATTTGTTCCTGATGAATGTCGACGTTTATCTTATACATTTTTTGAATGTAAACGATCAATGGTAAAATGAAGAATTTCGATTAATATTGAATTGTTTATTGATTTTTTTTTCTACAAATTCTTTAGATTGATATGCGATCTCGATTTCGTGGCCGTAAAGGTGAAATATATTAAATAGAACTTTATATTGCTTGTCTTATTCATATTATACTTTGTTTCATTTTCTTTTTGCATAAATAAGTTATTTAAAATCTAATCTATTTATTTTTCCATGAACAATCAGTCATTAACATTTTCTACTTTCAGATTAATTCGATCATTATGTTTGCTCAACGTTTTACTAGTATAGTATCACGAAGATATGTTTCAACAGTTGTTGATCTCTATAAAGGACTTATTAATGGTGATCGAGGTTGTTTAGCAAAATGTATTACATTAGTAGAATCAACTCATAAAGAAAAACAACAAAATGCAAAAGAACTACTTAGTCAAGTTTTACAAGAACTTAAACAACGACAACAAAAACAATCAAATAAACCGATTAGTTTTAGAATAGGTTTGATAATGAAGTAATGAAAGAAATTATATGTGTAGGTTTTGGTTGTTTTTTACAGGATTATCCGGTAGCCCTGGTGCTGGTAAATGGTAAAAGTTTATTTCTTGCTTTGAAAAAAAAATATATGTAGAAGTCCTAATTTGAAATAATTAATTAACAAAACGTTGAACTATGAAGACGATAATATTTTTATCTAGGAAAATCAACTTTCATCAATGTTTTTGGTCGATTTTTGATACAACAAGGACATAAAGTAGCTGTATTAACCGTTGATCCATCATCATCTACTTCTGGAGGTAAATCGAATTGACATTCTGAAATTTTTACTGAATTTTTCTATATTGAAAATTAGGTTCAATTCTTGGTGATAAAACACGAATGCTTGATTTATCACGCGAATCCGATGCTTATATTCGTACATCACCATCAGCTGGTACATTAGGTGGTGTGACTCGAACAACAAATGATGCAATAGTCCTTTGTGAAGCTGCTGGTTATAATGTTATTCTAGTCGAAACTGTTGGTATGTTAGAAATCAAAACAAAAAATACAAAAAATATAATATGAAATTTTCTTTTTTTCTTTTATAGGTGTTGGTCAGTCTGAATTTGCTGTTGTTGATATGGTTGATATGTTTTGTGTTCTACTTCCACCGGGATCAGGCGATGAATTACAAGGTTAGAATAAAATGAAAGGAAAGAAGCGATAATTGATGAAATTAGCTACCTACAGAAATATTATGTCTCTCAAGTCACATTCAGTCAAAGTGTTTCAAAATTGATCTCTGATATAATTAGATTTATAACACTTGTTTGTGTTGTGTTTCACCCAATCAAATATGTTAATAACTGTCGTATATACACTATATCTGACTGTTACGGGTGATCGACTTGTTTTATCTATCAATCCAAAGATCGAATAGACTAGTATTCATATAGTTTGATAGTACTTTTTGAGTTCTTCAAAATAGTATTAAAAATATCGAGAAAAAAACACTGACCATACAAGGAAATTCAAAGGAGACTATTCTTGAGACATGATTTTATGATTATTTCGCCTGATATTTAATAAGTTTCGATTAGAAAAATATGATAGCCTGAATCAGCATCTAATATTAAGTGAATTTATGGGTATTTCAAAAAAACAAAATTACGTGTAAGTCCACTCACTTTTGGATGCTGATTCAGAATATCATATTAGGTTATTTTTTCAAATTGTATTTTTCTAATCGAAATCTACTAAATATCAGGGAAGAAAAATCATGTCTCGAAAGTAGTCTTTTTGCGAGTTTTTTGTGACCAATGTTTTTTCTTCGATGCTTTTATACGATTTTGAATTGTTGGAAAAGTGTTATCGGACCATATGAAAATAGCCCGATTGTTCATGAAATAGATAGATCAAATATGCTGATTATCATTAACAGTCGAATTCAATGTACGTGTTACGATCATTGATTATTGCAATCAACTCGTGCGCAGCACAAATAAGTGCTATACGATTATTTCTACCAAAATTTATTTTCGAACACTTTGTGTGATAGTTTAACATAGAATAAATCGAATTTCTGTAGAAATTATTTCCTCCAGTTATCGACACTCCTTCTTTTGTTCTTGTTCTTTATTTTATGAGTTTAATTTAGGTATGAAAAAAGGAATTATGGAATTAGTTGATTTAGTAATTGTAACAAAAGCTGATGGTGAATTAATGCCAGAAGTTCGTCGTCTACAAACTGAGTGGTTAAGTGCTCTTAGATTAATGCGTCGTCGTTCTCCAAATTGGAAACCAAAAGTAAGAAGTCTATTTTTTGTTTTTGTTATTTGATTACCAAAATGAACTAATTATGAAGGTCATATCAGTATCAGCACGTACAAATACTGGTATTGATAAGTCATGGGAACAGATGTTTGAATTTGAAAATGCAATGATTAAATCAGGTGAATTTATGACTAAACGTTCTAATCAACTCCAAAAATGGATGTGGAATAATGTTAAAGATCGAATACTTGAACAATTTTTGGCCGATGACGATATACAAAAAGCAATTCAATCTTATGAACAACGTGTTATTCGTGGACTTATAACACCATTTGTAGCTGCTGATGCTATTTTAGCTCTTTTTGCCAAAGTTAAAACGGATAAAACTACATAAATATATATATATATAGAATATAGTCATGCAATTGTGATTTATTTTTTATCATATTAGAATTATTTTAGTATAAAATGATGATATAATATATTGAGATCGATTATGATAGAAATAAAAAAAATGTGATTTTTTTCTGGATATCTCATGTTCATTAATAAATATAAGTCTTAAAGATAACAAAGAGAAATAAATGGAAATTTTTTAAAATCTATCAACATATGCGACTAAAAAAAATTTTTATATAAGGAAAATCAAGGAATTGAATATCAGACAATATACACACATCAATCACTACTAAACGGAGTTCCATGAACTTCGGTCCAGACCGAAAATCATACAAGATTTCAGGTTCAGACTCGAACTCTTCTTGTTAACTTCTCTAAAAATCCGAAATCCTATAAAAAGTTGGCACACTCAGTAGTGCTTAGCGACATGCATTTTCAATAAAAACATAGTGCTCAGCAAGATAGCATAATCCATTAAGTACGAATACATATTAACTCATCTTTGATATCTTGGATTTCTAAGTAGTTTGGTCAGTAATCATCTAACAACCGATGACTTCAACTGAAGCATTTCAACTACGAAATTTATATAGTACTTTTCGTCTATTGACTCATCTCGAAATGCAATTTGCTGACCAAAACAGTACAACTATAGTATGATCTAAATTTATACTGCTCAGCACTATGCCATCTTGCTGAACGGAACTGCAGAACTGTAGTGCAATCTCAATACGCGCTCTTGATACATACTTTTTAATGAAAAGGTATACGAGTAAGCACTATGAAGTGCATCAAGTATTCATAGAAATAAGGATTTTTATGAGAGAAATTTTGAACCGAGCTGGAAATTTCTTGGGTTGAAATGCCAATCTTCTACTAAATCTCTCATCAGATTAAAAATGCATAGTCTTCTATTATGAGTGAGACGATTAATATAAATTTAATTATAAGCATATTTTCCAATAAAAAATTATTTATTGAATTTTATCAATATAAAAATAATTGAATCTCGATTATCTATTCATTTATGCAAATAAATAAACGACAAAAATGATGTTAAATAGATGGAAAATGTTGACTTAACATAATTTGTAATCGATACAGAAAAAATATAAAGACAAGTATTTTAACTTCATTTACTTTTCATTCAACTCTTAATATTAACTAATATCGGCTTCAGAATTAAGTAGGGATATGCGTAATCTCAAGAACTCGACAACGGCAACAGCTAGTGACCTTGAGTTTTCAGTAATAGAAAGAAGAGAATTCTGAACGTTTTTTTTTTTATAAGATACTATATAAGACAAAATTATTTAAAAACTCATCATCTTTGCAGAAATCTCATGAAAATGATGTTCAGTTTCGATGTAATTTTGATTTTAATATATGCTTCAAATCTATAGTTCAATGCACGATTAAGCTAATTACTTTCACATATCTCCATGTTGAACAAACAAAATTATGGATCTTTTCGGTGGAATTATATAGAATTTTGTTGATTTTTCGCAAATTTTCTGACTTTTTTAATCAAAATTTCCTTGAAAAGAAACACCGTTTTTATGCATTTTTTGGAATGTCTTGAGAAGGCGATAGATTTTAAAATAATTTTATCTTATTTAGCATCTGGAAAAAAGACATGTGGAATTCTCCTCTTTAGATTTCTGAAAACCGTCGGTCGCTGACTGTTGCCGTTGTCGAGTTATTGAGATAACGCTGAACTTTTTTTAATTTCAGTGCAGATATCACTAAATAAATGTATATTAATTTAAATTTAAGAATTATAAGGACAGTTATCTTTCAGTTGTTTACACTTATCTCTGTGTCCGAAGACATTAGAAGTCAAATATTGATTTACAAACACATTTTCTGAATAATTTGAGGAAGTTTAACCTTTGTCTGAACTAGATGATTCATTCAGACTGCTAGCAAACGTAAGATCTTTTTCGAGTACTGATTATCGATTGAACTAATTAAAGTGTATGGTTTATCTATTTTCTCCGGCGTCAATAACTCCTCATAGGAGAGTGTTAAAGCTCAGTTATGACCATTCCTATTTCTGTTCGCTATATACTGATTTTTATTCGCTGGATTAACATAGATACCGTGCGATTCGTTAAGTTGGTTTGATCCGAAACCACTTCCTTCAATACTATAAACTGTTATGTTATCTACACGAGAGTCATTTTTAAAGAGTGGCACACCATGATTGCCTCTCTCTGTTACATACTAATGATTATTAGATGTCATGTAAATACCAATGGTCTGTTTTTTTTTCGAGTCTTATTATGTCACTATTAGCCATGCTAACCCATGTCTAAGAACATTGAAACTCTCAACTACTGATAGTGTTCAAGAAGTAAAAAAGTAACTCAATTACATTTAAAAAAATTAAAGAGTTAAATTACTTCCATCCACATTGATATATTTGAAGATAAATCAAATTTAGATTAGCTCAGTATGTAATCACTAGAACTGTATCGACGATCAATAAAATGTTAATCTTTATACATCAAATCATCAAAATACTAGCCAGAGGCACATTGAAAAATGCCATTGATACATGTGAGAAAACGATCATTAATAGATTACAAACATAATTCATGAAAATTTGGATTTGTTAAATCAATGGTTCTTATAATTGAAGTTAATGACAATGATGATACTATAACTTGCTCAATTGATTGAATAACTTTCATTTATGAGACACTTTGTTTGATAAAAAGTTATAATCAAATGTGTAGGATAGTATGATATCACCTCAATCGAGATATAGACATATTTCATTGCAGACATGTCAGACAAACTATGTACAACTTCCATTAATTGAATAGGCAAAAAATCTTATGTCTGATTTACACAGATGTGAACGAAATATCTTTGATTGAATATCATAACTAATCAGAAAGATGAGAATTATGTTTTGAAATATAGTTACTATAAACAGTAAAACTGACAGTTATGTTTCACTTAAAAAAATTTATTAAAATAATAGAATCTAACCGAATCACTGGAAAAAAAACACAAATTTTCTAAAACGTTAAATATTTGTGAAATCAACTCCTTTAATCATTTATAGTCACCAATAATAATATCAATAAAAATCTATATAAAACATCAAGTTCTCCTAAAACGAAAAATTCAATATAAATTATAAGAAAAAATTATTGCTCTTCACAGTGGATATACTTTTTTTGGTAAGATAAAAAAATGTATGTTCGTATTAGTCAAATTAAAAATTATTCTGAAAAATAAAATGTCATATACGTAAAATTTTTTCATACTTTCAACCTGTCCATCGCACATGTCTTCTCACATTCTCTTCTTTTTCAAGATGACTATTTACTATTTGTTACATGTCATATAGTAAATTAACAATTGCATGATTATTTTAATGGTTGATAGTTTTGAAAATTTCTTATGCATATTAAATACTTGCATCGATCATTAAGAAAGTGATATCTTTAATATAATGAATATCTCCTAAAGATTAGCATTCCTTTTTTTTAAATAAAATCTCAATTTGATGATCATCTTTCTATTCACAATATGAACACTGCTTTTGTAATATCGTTTATTCGTCTAACCAATCTGTTATGAATACACATACTCTATTGCTCTCTATCTATGGGAATAACTGTAAAAAATAAATTGCAAACAATTAATTCGATTTATGGAAGAATCCAAAATATTGTCATAATTGTAGTTTTCCTATGAGCTATATGAACATACGGAAAAATATTGCACCGACACCATAATGTGAATGTACAATAAATGTTATTTGAAAGAGTCTCTATGAAGATGAGGTAGAGAATTGTTTGAAATAAAAACATCAAGTGTACCTTTTAAACCATTGAAGTTCTACGTCGTATTATATATTTCAGATTGCTTTTTTGTACTGTTCATTTTAGAAATAACTCAATTCAAAACACTTGTACATCAGTAACAACATTCAATACAAGTTGAAAGTGTTTGACAACCGCTGAAGCAACGTATATGCGTAGAAATAACAAAACAAAAAATGTTTTTTTTTGTACATTTTTATGATGCTCGTCAAGTGCAATTCGTTGTTCATTATTTCATTGTGGAACATTCTTAATCGAAATAAGACCAATGAAAAGAATATCCTTTTTAACCTGCATGTCACTCTATATTTTTATTATTAAAAATACAATGAGAGTAACATTCAAGCAGTTTGCGAAAAAAAAGAAATCAAAGGACAAAATGAGCACATGCGAAAATACAAAAGAAAAATTTTTCTTGATTAAGAACGATTGAAACATTTTGTTGTATAAAAACTCATTTGAAGACGTTCATTTTAGAGAGAAGCAATAGTTGGTCTAAATAATAATTAATTTGAACCAAAACTAAAAACGGGTGAACAAAATAGATCATTATCGATTTCTAATTGTTTCTTAACTATTAATCTTTGTTTTCAAATAAAAATCAATACAAACTTTTTGTTTGAATATCTTAATTCAATAATTTTTGAAAATTTAATAAACTAAATATGTAATTATATTTTATTATTTTATAGAATGTCTAACATGCATAATGATAACAATAATCAAGAATCATTAAAGACGAAAATAACTGCTCGTGTTTGTGAAAATTTTATTATTGTTTGGTTAGATTTGAAAAGTAATGAATTGAATGAAAATTTAATGAATCAACTTCGAAAGATGATTAATTCAATTAATGTATTTTCTGACATAGAACAATGTATTAATTATCTTTCTCAAATTCAACATGAACAAATATTTATGATAATATCAAATTTATTTGATCGTGAATTTTTTTCTATTGTCGAAGAAATGCCACAAATTAATTCAATTTATATATTATATGATAAAAAAATTGATTATCAAGAATATAAAAAAATCAAAGGTATTTTTAATAAAATTGAACTTATTTATAATGAACTTAAACGAGATATTTATCTATGTCAACGTAGTTTAACTCCAATTAGTATTATAAATTCAAATTCAATAATTGATT